GGTCAATCACCTAGACAGAAAAATCAGCTGGGAAGCTGGCTGGTGCAGAGACCTTAGAAACCACTGAATGTGCAGACAGGACAACAGTCCCTTTGGCCACTGCCCACTCTCATCTCCAGAGGGCCTCACATTACTCTGTGAGAAGTCTTACCTATATGTGTGTCTTCCTTGGCTCCTTTCAAAGATCAAGGAACTGAGGGGAGATCAGAGAGAGATCCTGGTAGTGATACTGTTGGACCTACATAATCTGATCCTGAAGAATCCCTTTAAGACTAAATCTAGAGACTAGGAATGGAACTCGATAATAGAATATATACTAAGAATTCCCAAGGCCAGGAAAAAAAAAAAGGAAATACCAAGGCCTTGCATTCAATTCTCAGTATCAAAAAAAATAATCCAATGAATATAAAGAAATAAAATACTGAAAAATGTCTAAACTCTGACTACACGAACACTACCATCAATGGAGGAGCCAACTGAATTCCAGCACCTGGGGTTCTCAGTGCACTGCTTAATCTTTAACAACTGGCATGGTGGTATACATATATAATGTTAGCAGTTGGGAAGCTAAGACACTAGGATTGCTTTGAGTTCAAGGTCAGCCTGGGCGACATAGTATCAAGCCAGTAGGGGATACAGACCAAATTCTTCCCCCCCCCAAAAAAAAACATAAATTATCAAAAATCTGTGCTTCAATGTGTAGATAAATGAAAATCTCCCATGACTATTAAAAAAAATCTAGATTTCTTATAAATCTATGTGAAAACTATAAACAAAGGCAACAAACAATACAATCTCACACAACAAGTTAAAAGTAAGTTTACCATGCACTGATATTTTCCCTACATCTTTCATTTTTTGTAATGTTTCACTGAAATTTTCAGAATATAAATGTTTCTAGGCAGGAGTCTCTAATGCATCTGGAAGAAAGAAAGAAAACACCAGGGCAGTGGCCTTTGCTAAAATGACAAAAGACTATCCATCGGTTCCTGTTCCCATTAAAGCTGGTGAGAGTCCACATTCTTCACCACACAATGGAGCTTTCACCAATGCTGGAAAATATTTTTGTGAGAAGATTTGCAGAGAATGAATGGAATTCTTAATGTTGCAAGCGCCCATTGAATTATTTAAAAGGACAATGACTGAATGACTAATTAGAAATGTTTCAGTGATATTTATATTACAAAAGAAAAGATTTAAGTCTAGCATTTTCTCTTGAATAGTCAGAAAAAAATAGACTAGGTTTGTTAACCGTGGGCATCAATTCTGGAATGATCTGCCCTCCAAGCTCTGAGAGCTGCCTCCCCTTTGGCCAGCTAATGCTTTTTCCATCCTACTTGGCTTCTAAATGTTACTGTCTGAATGGCTGCTTATATGTACTTCAATTTACCTGGCCCCAGAACAAGACTTAAGATGACGCCAAAGAACTGTATAGCATGGTAAATGATAAGAAAATAAGGAAAATGAGACAAAGGAAGACTAAAACAAGACAGATAATGAAGTGTCCTCTAGTCTGAATAAAATTAACACTTCAGCCTTCTGCCAGCAAAGCCTTTCTATCCCAGGAAGCATAACTTAACCGTCCAATATCATCACGTCAAAGCCATTTGTTGGGGTCAGAGAGGTGACTCAACAGTTAAGAGCACTGACCATTCTTCTGGAGGACCACGGTTCAATTCCCAGTACACACATGGCACCTCACAATGGTCTATATTTCAGGTTCCAGGGGATCCAACATCCTCACATAGACATACATGCAAGCAAAGCACCAATGTATATGGAGAAAGAATTTAAAAAAGATACAAAAAGCAAAAATCAAAAAGCCTGTTCTTTAAAAATAAAAAAAAAAGTTAAAACAGCTATGATACTGAAATTAAAAAAAAATCATTGGGACAGGGCTATAGCTCTGTTAGTCGAGAATTTGACTAGCACACACAAAGCCCTAAATTCAATTTACATACCTTAGGCACGGTAGTGCATATAAAGTCAAGATAATAAGTTCAAGGTCATTCTCAACTACTTAGTAAGTATGAGGCCAGTCTGGACTACGTGAGGCTTTGTCTTAAAACAAGAACATAGAAAAAAATAAAAATAAACTTTTACAGTCTGTTTTTTAGGTTATTTAAGATTTATTTTTAAATACATAAATAAACTTTCTATAAATCATGAACTTACAAAGTCTTAAAAAGAAGGCAAAACATTTGAAAGCAACTTTGCCACATCACTTCCACAGAAACACGGTTTAACGTACGCAAGCAGGCAATTTGCTGATGGTCTGGCTTAGTCTAGAATGTATTTCTCACGGAGTGGAAGAGATTCTCTCATAAAAAAATGAAAAGGAAAAGGAAAGAAAATGAGAAAAGCATTTGATAAATGCACCTAACAAAGATATATTTAAAATATTCTCTCCACAAAAGACTAGCACATCCTTGGGTAGGCTGTTTGCATTCTTACGAAAATTAGGTAATTAAATGTAACCATTAAATGCAACCACATGCGCAGTGATTATGGCGGTCACAGGACAACTTGCAGGAATCGGTTCTCCCCTACCATGTGAGCTAAGAGGCTCCAACTCAGGCTTGGTGGCAAGTGCCTTTACCCACAGAGCCACCTTACTGACTTCAATCATCTACCATATTTTCATACTGATATTTTATCTAGTAACCTTACTGAACTCTACAGTGAGCTTTAAACATTTTTTGTCTTTGAATTTCTATATATCACTTGCTCCTCTTTGTTAAAGTAAAGAAAGAATATTCCATTAGCCTCTATTAAGTACAACTCCCCTGAATTCTCAAAATTCAATATAGTGTTATCTGGACATCACTAACCCTTACAGCTTTCTCATTTATAGGCTTCTTTTTTTGTTTGTGTTTGGTATTTGTTTTCATTTTCATTTTTGTTTTGTTTTTTGGAGACAGGGTTTCTCTGTAGCTTTGGAGCCTATCCGGGAACTAGCTCTTGTAGACCAGGCTGTCCTTGAACTCACAGAGATCCACTCACTAATCTTCAGCTTAAGATTAATTAGGCTTAACACTAATCTTCAGCCCCCTTGCCCCGTTCTTCCACTATCAATCTCATCCCACCATATTTCACTCTCTAACAGAAATCGGATCATGCAGCATCAGACACTGCTCGGAACGCACACCAATCCCATCCCGCTTTATTTCACACACTCAGAAATTAGGAAACACCATCAGACACTGTCCAGCTCTCTCTCGCCAGTATTTGTGCTTTCTTGGTCCTTCAATACATCTGCGTGTAAGGGTCAAGCATACATTAATTCAGCTGCCTTGCTACATTCCATGCTCAGAAAAGTACCCAAGATAAAAAAAACTATGAGCCCCTGGAATCCATCCTCAACACCCTGCACTGATCTGCCATCCCATCACACACTGCTTCATAAAGTCCCCTCTCCTTCCCTTAACCTATGTGCCCTCAGCACACCGCACCCACCTCTGGGGACAGACATTACTATGTCCCATCGCACCCACTCATCCATCTGTTCCTGAATAAGACTGCTTCTCGGAAGAGCAAGAATTTCATTTCCGTTGACTATCCCAGGCACCTGCTTTGTACTTGAAGTTCCCACTAAAGTACAATTCCTTGAGCCTGACATTATGCAAAAGAAATAAATTTAGAGAATATAAATTTATCAAAACCTTAGTTAAGATGAATGTGGCTGTTTGACCAGTAAAATCAATAGCAAATTTCATATTCATAACTCCGATAAAATTGTCTTATGTAAGATATTTTCCAAGTAAATAACAGAAAGCTTTTACTGAAAAAATAAATAGCCTTTTGCTTAAGACACCTGAATGGATAGCACTAGATGAACTTAGGCTATACTAGACGGTACTAATGGCAGCGTGGCTAATGCCTCTCTCCTTTAACAGATAATGAATGGTGAGAATCCTCTGAAAACACGGCCATCACAGAATACTAATCTTAAATACTGTAAAACACAAAAGGAAAACCAACAGTGAAAACTGGCTCCCATTCCACCTACCCTTCCACTAACAGTGCGCTTTTGAATATTAAGACACAGATGTCATATAACATGAAGAATGAAAGAATATCCTTAAAAAGTCACAGACAACTTGGTATTCTTTTTACTATGCTAAAATCAACCTAAATAAATATGCATATAGAGAGAGAGGATACAGGGAAATAACAGACACAACTTCAGGGTGATAGCCAAATTAAACGGAGGCAGAGCAAGGGAGACACTGTAAAGACAACAACAGTTCATTGACACCTGGGCTTTCATTTTGGCACCAGATGTTCAGTTACTAAATTATTTCTTAAATAGATAGTTAAAAGGAGAGGGAACAAAGTAGGGAGCGCAGTTAAGAGGGAGAGGAAAGAAAAGAGGGGAGAGGAAAGGCAAACTCAAAGATAAAAGTAAACCAAGCACAGAGCAAACACTGAAAGTGTGTTTGGACCAAGGATGAGAGGCCCTAGATGAGATGACACAAGGTCACACCACAGGCACTGTTTGTAGTTTTATTATCTATGAATCAAACTCAAAATTCACCCACCCCCAATAAATGTGAGGCCTTCGGCACTCAGAGGGGTCAAATAATTGCCTCCTCAGCAAATAACAGCCAGAGTGGACGAGGGAGCTACAGAAATGAAAACGTGGCTGATCCATTGATTGGCTCTCTGTAACAGAGATGACAATTCCCACAGCGATGGTCACTCATTTGTTCAATGCTTATCAATTATATCTCAAATCTCATGAAAAGCAAAGGGACCCTTTGGACTTACAGTTCATACTTGAAGCCAGTCTAGTGTCTTCTTCTCTAGAAAGCTCCAGAATTAAGTGTCCTCAAGAGAACTTACCCCACTTTTAGCCGCTACATAAGTAACCAACCCAAAGCAGTTTGTGTGCAAAGTGAGGTTATGCTGGCTCTCCAAATTCAAGGACACCAAATCTCTATGACAACCACTAGAAAAACACACAGGAGATTTCCTGAGTACAGTACTGTTTGTCTTACCTGCTATCTCCGTAAGGGTATTAACATGATCTCCATCTGCTAACTTCACAAAGCCAACCTGACTTCGGAAAGTGTCAACGCCCTGGAAGGGCAAAGTCAGGTGCCTCCCTTGAAGGATTTCCTCAATGAATGGCTTCAGTTCCAAAAGTGCATCAGTACCACTAGTGAGAGACAATATTTTTCAACAACATGGTAAGTAATAGACAAAACCAAATAAGAAACAAATCCAGTTTTTTGTTTTTGTTTTTTTGTTTTTTTTTGTTTGTTTGTTTGTTTGTTTTTTTTTTTTTTTTTGGTTTTTCAAGACAGGGTTTCTCTGTGGCTTTGGAGCCTGTTCTGGAACTAGCTCTGTAGACCAGGCTGGTCTCGAACTCACAGACATCCGCCTGCCTCTGCCTCCCGAGTGCTGGGATTAAAGGCGTGCGCCACCATTGCCCGGCTACAAATCCAGTTTTTAAAAGAAATTTTATATATATATATATACTAATTATTTCAAAGTTCAAAATATCTTTCAGATTTAACCTGTGGTTAAAACCAATATTAATTTTTAAATAACTATAGAAGAGGTGAATTAAGTCTTTTCCTAATTTTAATTACTATTAAAGCAGATACTTGTGGTGGTTTGAATAGGAATGGCCCCCACAGACTCATATGTGTGAATGCTTGGTCCACAGGGAGTGGCACTATTAGGAGGTATGGCCTTGGTGTAAATGTGGCTTTGCTGGAGTAAGTGTGTCACTATGAAAACGGGCTTTGAGTTCTCATATGTTCAAGCCATGCCTAGTGTCTCAGACCACTTCCTGTTTCCTACTGATCAAGATGTAACGCTCAGCTCCTTTCCTAGCACCATTTCTGCCTGTATGCCACATGTTTCCCGCCATGATAATAATGGACTAAACCTCTAAAATTGTAAGCCAGTCCCAATTAAATATTTTCCTTTATAAGTGTTACTGTGAGGCCATGCCTTTTAATCCCAGCACTCTGGAGGCAGAGGCAAGCAGATCTCTGTGAGTTCAAGGCCAGCCTGGTCTTCAGGAGCTAGTTCCAGGACAGGCTCCAAAGCTACAGAAAAATCCTGTCTCGGGAAAAAAAAAAAAAAAGTGTTGCTGTGGTCACAATCATTAATCATCAAGAAACTTCTGTAAACAACGTACTCTGGAGACCCACTGGAGGACGGCAAATGTGAAGCCAACCTGGACTACATAAGACCTAGAGTACTAAAAGACCTTGCCTCAAAAAATAAAAATTAAAACAAACAAACAAAAAGAAATTGCTGACCGAAAAAAATTTACCTGTGTAACTCAAAGTGCTGGAGCTACTCACTTGCCTGCTATGTATGAGGTCCTAGATTCGACCTCCAGGACCTCAGGAAAAAAGAGGGCTACAACTCAAAAAAAACTCCAATTTTTACTAATTTTTTTTAAAATAATGATACATTCCAGAACAATTTACCACACACAAGAGCTTTGTTAGGTTGTACGGAGTGTTCAAAACTGAGTTTGTTTTAGTTTGTTTCTGGAGGTAGCATTTTGAGGCAGGCTCTTATGTAGAGAAGGAGGACTCTGAACTTCTGGTCACCCTGCCACCACCTCCCAGGTGTTAGGATGACAGAGTAGGTAAGCATTCTACCAGCTAAACCATGTCCCCAGCCCAAAGTCTCGGATTTATAAAAATAAAAGTACTAATTCTTACTCAAATAGGACTTACTGTTTCCAATAGATTCTACAAAAACTTAATCAGGCATTATCTCTTAAAATACAGTGTCTTTATTAACACGATTTATTGTACTTAGACTCAAAGTATAAGTTTAATTGTACTTCCCAACTAACACTAAATGCTTGTTATAATTGTTTAGCCTATGTTCACTTATGACCACTTTGTGTTTCAAATCTTTATTTCTCTTTATGAGTTAGATATTATCAAGTTTTCCCTGGTTTTAAATTAATGATCAATTACATCTTGAAAAGCATTCTAGTGGATATACCTTATTATGAAAAAACTTAAACTCACTAGAGGGCAGCAGTTACTTAAGAAAGAAATGAGCATGGGCAGTACGGAGAGGATTTTCAAACTTCCTTCTAACAAAACTATCATTGAATTATCCTGTTCCCCCATCAAATAGGTGAAAAAATAGATTTTTGTAGCGCTTTCATATTTCTTAATTAATCTCCACACGGCTCTGAGCCGATTCCATGCACGTATTTCACGGTCATGTTATGAGGACAACACAGAACTGCAGAAGCACTCTGGAGATGCCAGTATTTCTCCCTGTACCTCCGCACCCACATCCTAAGTCCAATGCCCCTAACTGTATTCAGGGCCATAGCCAGTTCTGCAAATAAACCTCTACATACACAGATACAACTACATGGACAGAGAAGACACACCCCACCTGTTGTGCTTTTAGAGGATCCTGATTCATCACACAAGCTGTGACTCCTCTTCCTCACCTATCCCCCATCCCTTGGTTTGTCTTCTCTGAAAACCATGAAAGCATTGGTTTTATATGATTGAGTGGTAAACTGAAATAAAACAAAATCTCTCTTTCCCTCTGTCCTTGAAGCCTGGTGGCTTTCCGTGGGAAGGTCAAGAGTCATTGTCTGTGGCCAGTTGCGAATGGCTGCTATGTTTGCTTTCCCTCTCTTAGTCTATCTTTTTCTCACTCTCTTCCCAACCCAAGCCTTGCTTTTCATTCCCCCAGGAGCCATCTGGGCCAAGGCAGAAACACAAATAATCTGCATTTCCTCCCTGCTTTTGTTTACAAAGAGCCCAAGCTTGAATTTAAGGCCCCCAAACTCCATAGGAGACAGCAAGGAATTCTGCACTCTTGTAATCAGTAACTTCTAGTCAACCTTTAGGGAGTGGGGAAAGTTGGGGATGGGAGGTGTGGAATGGAATACCATGGCACTAGGAATGACCAAGGCAAGCTGAAGTGGAAATTGTCCACCTCGCCCCAGGAAAATGACAGCTCTGATGACAGACAGCCAAGAGTAAGTACCTACTACATGCTGGGCAACATGCTAAGGGCTCTTGCTTGGCGTTAGCACTATTTACTGGGACAGCAAGTTTAAGTCAGACTGCTAATAAAAGGTAGTTATGCCATAATTCCAGAATCGTCACCTAGAGTCTCAATCTAGACTCTAGAATCAGACTCCAGAGGAGTTTGCATAATTAACATAGACAACACATCTGTGTAACCAAGGAATACCACTGATAACAATGAAGTAAAAATAATCTGAATTAAAAATATTTATACAAAAACAATAAAAAAAATAAAAATTAAAGAAAGAGAATATTTATACAAGCAGGGCAGGGTAGTGCACACCTTAGCCCTAGCACTGGGGCGGAGACCAGAGGCAGGAACATCTCTTAAGAGTTTGAGGCCAGCCTGGTCTGTAAGGTAAGCTCCAGGGCAGTCAAGGCTACATTTGTCTCAAAAAAATAAAAATGTAAACAGACTATAGTGGAATGTGTCTGAAACCTCAGCACTGAGACAGCTGAGGCCAGAGAATCACAAGTCCTAGACCACACTTGATACATCAAGTTTGAGGCTAGCCTATGTTACATAAATTAAAAACAAAAACAAACAAACAAAAAAAACCTCTGTACAATGACTACCAGGATAATCAGGATAAAGAATATTTCTTTAGAATCTTAAAGCCGCCTTGGGCTCGACTATATTTACTCACAGTAGAGTAATAATTTGGAAAATAATATTCAAGAAAGACACATTACTCACGTGTTTACTTCATCTTCATTTAATAACTGCATCACCAGCAAGGTGATATGAAAGGAACCATCACCAACCATGGCTTTGGCCAGTCGTTTATCCTGTTGTAGTATCGTATTTTGCAAGACCTTAATTCCTGCTATAATCTAATTACAAAGAAAAAAGATATAAGTAAGCAAAATTTTTATAAGACAAATTTTAAATTAATAAGAAAAAATAGTTGGACGGTGGTGGCAAATGCCTTTAATCCCAGCACTCGGGAGGCAGAGGCAGGCAGATCTCTGTGAGTTCAAGGCCAGCCTGGTCTACAGAGCGAGTTCCAGGACAGCTAAGGCTGTTGCACAGAGAAATCCTGCCTTGAAAAACAAAAACAAACAAAAAGAACAAAGCATAAGCAAGCAATTAACAAAATTAAAATGACATCAAAATTCCGCAGCCAAACACATAACCTCTGCTTGTTCTCATACTTGCTAGAGAGTTGACTAGCATGGTCGGAAACACTACATACATTTAGACAATCACGAGATGTGCGTCCATCTGACGGGCCCTGAGCGCAACACTCTTATTTCGCAGACTGAGTGGGAAAAATCGCCATGGCAGCACCTCCTTTTAGAAATGCGCCCTTGTACTAAGCGTCTGACTCAATAATCATGACCATTCCTAAGAAAAAAAGCTTTATTCTTCCAGGGAAAGGCCAAATCAGCAGACATCATTCCATTTCTGTTAGAAGTAATATTTATTTGTCCCACAGTGAATTGCTGGACCTATTCCTCGCGGCTTTTAAGATCCTCTAGGATAGGAGGAATTCCAGTAAGAACGACTGCTGGCATTTTTTTCCTGACTTGGGAGGGATGGAGCATAACCATGGAGACAAAACTGAAGGAAGCCCAAACTATGACAGTGTGCATCCAGGAGAAAGTCCACAGGCCGGGCTGCTCATCTGTCTTCCCTCTCAGTACCGATTCCTCTGGAACAGGAAGAGACAGGATGTATCTCCCTCCTCCACTTCCTGTTAGAGCCACAGAGGCTAGCCCAGCTGTAAATGTCAGTGCACTGGAGAGCAATCTAAAGTATAATAGCAAGCCCAGAGAGAGGCCTGAGAGAATTCGTAAAAGCCTTGGGAGAGCAGAATTATTAAGAGAAAAGGAAACGCTGGGCAGGCAATAGAGACAGCATCCAGTAAAACAAAACAGAAAGGGAGGGGTGAGGAGAGCTCAGGGCCTGAGCATAGCAGGCTGCTCTGATTCTGGAGCCCCTGTGTTATCCTCAACAATGGCCCCATTGTTTGTGGAATGTACTGAGCAAATCATAAGACACTGTCCTGGGACCTAGACGTTCCCTTGAACCAGGCTCCAAGTCCACTGCTTAATTGGGCCCCACTGGTTCTCCTTTGTTCTTGTAGAACCCATTCTGAGTAAGAATCTTGTGAAGTCACTTCGGGAGAAAATCTCCCATCCTTGGTATCCTGACCACCTTCCCTGTGGCCTGCCTTTGTGATTCTGTCAAGCCATGTTTCTTCTTAGCAATGTTCTATCCACTGACTTTATCCCTGTTCCGTGTTACAAATTCCCACTGTACTTTCTGTGGTCAGAACAACATCCATCTCTCTCCGTGAGGCCATTTCCTAGCTCCTAGCTCCTATACCCATCTCCATAGACCATGGTAAACTGAAATTTGAAAATTGTCCAAGGAGATTAAAAAATAGCCTCAACTCTGCTTAAACTGAAAGAGAAAAAAAATCAGCAAAAATTGACTCGAGTCATTTCTAGTCATTTCTGGTTTTGTTAGAAACACAAGTTAAGCTCAGCCAATCACGAGCGCCCAACGAACATATGATGATGATGTGACTAGGGGTGTTCTGACAAGGTGACCCATAAAAGGCAACTCCATACGCGCAATCAACTTCTTTATTTTACCCCCACGTTTTTCCTATAAATACCTGCCTCTGACTAAACCTCTTTTAAGTCTGGTGTCCCCGATTAACAAACTGTTCCTTACTCAAACTTTTAAAAAATGATATTGGGCCCAAGATTTTTCTCTAAGAGTTTAGTGGCAGGAGCAGACCTCAAAGGAAAATCTCAGGGACCTCGAGGGACATTGAGGCACCAAACTAAGGAAGGCGCCAGGCCCATTATAGCTCCAGCAGGTAGAATATGCCTGAGTAAAATACCGACTGCTCTTCCAAAGGTGCTTCTAGGCCTGACAACAGCCGAAAGGCCTACGTGGGCTGTTCCCATTGTCATCCCTCAGAAGACTGAATGGTCATTATTCAATCATGTAAGCAGGAAACAAACAGATGACTCACTCCGATCGCAGTGCGAGATTGCAACTCTTCTCGTTAAACATTTTCATTAAAAACACAGCTTGAGTGTTTCTCTTTTTAATTCTATAAACCTTGCTATGACAAAGAATATCTTACAAATAAATAAAAACTTCACACACCAAAGTTAACCAGACTCACAGCAGTAGCATTTCTTACTGGCACTGAAATGACTTCTATGGATGTTCATCAGAGGGCTTGGTGACCTGCAGAGAAACCTAAGACTGAACCGCAGCCAAACAGTCTAAAAGAATAAGAACAAGATGAGGACCAGCGCCGGCCATGAGTGAAGGCACCTGTCACCAGCCCTGAGGATCTGAGTTCAGTCCCCATGACCCACGAGCTGCAAGAAGAGAATGACTCCTATAAGCTTCCTCTGGTCACACAAGCTAAATAAAATATAACAAAAATAAATAAGAAAAAGAATGCAGAGCCTCCTGTCCTTGTGACTGAAAAAAGCTATAGGGACAAAGACCAAGAGGTTTTCGCCTCAAGTCTTACCTCAAGAGGTTAAGCCAAGAAACCCTGAACCTATAGATTTCTGTCACCATTATACAGTCACACTAAAAGAAAAAACACTGTCCATTACGCTACCAGCCTCCCAGAGAAACTATTCCTTTTGGTAGGGACACATCGCCATCAGGTGAACCCTCGGGGTCTCGACTGTTAAAAGAAAGGTCCGTGCTGATGGGGCTACTACATTACTCCAGTAACACACACTTTCATAAGCATGGGCAAACCAAAATCAGTGAAGAAATCATGCACATACTACTGGAAGAAAACAAAGCCACTGGCCCTGCTTTACACTCTGCTATAGTAAATCAACAAACCCCTCCGTATAAAAAAAGTGGGAGAGGATGGGGTTCAAATCAAATCCAGAGAATCTCTGTGTGACCAGTTCCCAGGTCTTCTGCACCCCCTCAGTAAAGTACATTGTGTGACAGTGGGTTGAAAAGAGCTTTCTTTTTTTTTGGTTTTTTGAGACAGGGTTTCTCTGTGGCTTTGGAGCCTGTCCTGGAACTAGCTCTGTAGACCAGGCTGGGACACATAACATTCTCTTTGGAGGAAGAAAACTTTCCAGAGTTCCCTGACTCTCTGAAGTCTGAGGGCTACTCTGTTCTTCAAAAACAGAAGCTGATAAAATAGAAACTCAGACCTCTCTAAAACCCCAGCCACTTATGGGTTTCCTCCTCAACCAGCATAGGAAAAAGTTGAGGTATAAAATATTAAGTAGACTGATCATTGCTTCAATTGCCCCACTCCCTAAAACTGTAGACAGTCCAGAAACTATCACTGATTGCATGGGGGTGGGGTGGGTGTCAAAACAAGGTCATGTAATAGCTCCTACCAACTGATGCCTGGGGTACTTCAATCCTACTAAGTAAAAACCTAAGAGGATCAGGTTTCTGTCTACTTACCTGCAATAAATGAAATTATAATTCTAGCACTGTTATCTGATGTGTCTCTGCAGGTTTGAACCAGTTCACAGCAGTGGACCTCTGCGTTTCCTTCTGTAGTATTCCAGTAGATGAAAGCCAGTGTTTTTTGCCTTTAATGATCAGCTGTACACACAGACTGTATACTCTATGTGTTCACTAAAGGCCCATCTTATCTGTCTCAAGCATTACACTGTCAGTCTTGCAATTCAGGGGAAAATTCACTTACTTAACATGCAGAGAATCTGATACTATGTTCCCTACCAAAATAGAATCTGAAATAACTCATTTCTTCTCCTACAGCATGTACTCTACCAGCATTGAAAGGCCGCCATAGAGAAACTTCAGAACTATCAAGAAATGGTCCATTGCTTAGGTCCCAATCTTGACTGTAGGAATTTCCCCCTCACGTGGAAGAGTAAAGACAGTCCAAGTGTTCCCTTGACTGACAGCTTAGAGGTTACAGAGAGGTTTCTGTGGACTTGGAGAGTACTCCAGGTCTCGGTCCAAATTTCTTCCTGATAGTTTTCCCTTTATATCAACTTATAAAAATTCTTCCAGAGCCCTCTCGATGAGAAGATAACTAGGAACAAGTTTTAGGTCAAAGAAAGTTGGCCTCATGCTCATCTTCAGCATTTTAGTGCAACGTCTTGCATGGTGAGATGATTTTAGATCCTGTGTGTCTTTGAATTGTCTAATAATTGTAAAACTTAAAAATCAAAAACTGTAAAATGCTTTGAAGACTATTATTTCCATGAAGCCACATGATACTTGTAATATAGGATTAACCTCAAATCTATGAAAATGTAAAAGTTAATCTAATCAAGTCACATATTTCTAACCATGCTTTGATTTTTCCAATTAATTTATAGATTCACTGATATCATCTTAAGAATTTTTAAATGCTTTTTATTCCTAATTACAATCTTTAAAAGACAAGAAAAACACTCCAGAATCTTAACTGCATGTTATTAAAAGAAACTAATTTTTATAGTCACTGTTTAAAATTCTCCAACACCATTAAACCTTATCCATCATCCTAATCCCCCGCCACTGGCGTAACTGCACAAAGTACATCTCTAAACCAATCCTAACAGTGTAACTTAGATGTGACACTAAAAGAAACGTCTACAAATAAAAACTTGACTGAAATCTTACATATTCTACTCACTGAGTTAATTGAAAAGCACATCCTCATCTGGTAAATATCACCACTACGTCATAGTTCAAAAGCCTACACTGGCGCAATTAGAAAAGCCATCTTTACATCTTTGAAACCTTCTAATTAACTCAATGTATATGTAAGTTTTAAAAATGGCGTAAATTAGCATGCTCCTACAAAAGAGACATACTATATTCTAGTACACCGTAGAAGACTATCTTTGACCTC